AGATTCTCAAATCATCTTCATTGGCTTTATTGACACTGGGGAGTTTCACTCAGAATGTCCTCAGGTGGCAAAGGACATGTACATAGCTAGTCAGCAACTGTATTTGGTATAACTTCACATTTTTGGTATACAGAAATAGTTTTATTTTCTTGATGCAGCACAGTAGACGTACAATCAATTATTCCCTAGAGAATGCAATATAAATTATTCACATTAAAAAATTAATGACAGAAAGCTGATATGCGGGAAATATTAAAAACATAGACCTAATTCAAATGTGTTTTGAGCACAGACACGGCTAGCTTTATAAATCTGAATAAATACAACATGGCGCACAGTGGCTCGAGCACAGATGGGCCTGCTCCAGGCGTAGTGAGAACCAACCCAGTCTCGGCTTTGGTCGCTGAGGAGCCGATGGAAAGAGTCTACAGCACTACAGGGCTTCTCGGGCTTTTCCTCCTATTCTCCTTTATAGCGAGGGGGTCTTTTCTCCTTAAAAGCAAGAAGACCTTCCAGTCTGTCTTTCGTTGAGATGGTCTAGGAAAGACAAAACATGAAACACTCAAATCTACAAACACACAGTGCGTCAAAGCATTAACTACGAAAGCCACCAGCACGTGCTGGGAAGGCCACTTGTCCTGTGAACAAATTTCCTAAGTGTGTGGCAAACTATTTTTAATCCGATTTATTTTTCCATTTCAAATATGCTTAAAAAGTGAAGTGTTTTGTTTTCAGAGGTAAACCAATGAAAAGCTCAGCATGGAAACTCCTGGGCTCCCTCTACCACCAGCTCCAATAGCCCGCGTCAAAGCACAGGGCCGCTATCTCCTCAACAGTCAGTGCGCTTGCGTGTTCTGGGAGTCTGACAGAGGCATGACGTCACCTGCTCATCACCACAGTGTACAGAGAGTGACTTAGCTGCCCCAAACATTCTTTGTTCTCCACATACTTGACTCCAGCCTGTCAGACAGCTCTTCCAGGATGTCACTGGACTGTTAGGAACGACTCAGGACCCAGTCCTTTCAGACTGGACCCTTTCACGGAGCGCCATGAATTCAAGGCTCCTTTACACCATTTTCTTGCTTGACAGGTAGGACAGGCTTGACTAAAGGACATTTATTTATTTATTTATTTATTTATTTATTTATTTATTCATTCATTCATTCATTCATTCATTCTTGAGAAAGGGTCTCACTACATAGTGGAGGCTACCTTCAAAGTCCCAAGGTGTGGCACACCAGCCTTGAACTTTGCTGGATTTGAATCACGTGCACTAAGCCTGACTATGAAGTACAGACATCTTCACTGTTTCTAAATTAGTAACTATGAATAAAGTTTAGCAGCAGGTTCTGGGGCAGAGATGCTTTCACCTTATCTGGGCAAACATCCAAGGACACAACTGCTGGGCAACATGGTAGAGGGTATTCAGGCTTACCTCAAACTGCCATCCATGCTGGGGCCACAGAACCACTAATGCCTGGGCAGCCACGGTCAGTGCCCACTGTCCTGAGGTTTGGTCATTTAACACATACTGCAGTCTTCAGTTTCCAAATGACAGGTACTTCCAGCACAGTCTCATAAGGCTGTGTGCCATCTGCCCATCTACTGCAGCAAAAGAACAGATCTCCTTCTGTTCTTTTATTTATTCATCTATTCAGATCTCTTGTCCTGTCTGTCTATCTAAGGTGTGAGCATTCTGCCTACATGTGCACCTGCAGGCCAGAAGAGGGCATCCATTCCATTACAGATGGTTGTGAGCCACCACGTGGTTGCTGGGAATTGAACTCAGGACCTCTGGAGCAGCAGTTTCTTAACCACTGAGCCACCTCTCTAGTCCCTCTTGTCCATTCTTAAAGAGGCTTTCACTACCTCATTGTATGGCCTTCAGAGTTCCTGCTGTGTCTTGGATATGAGACCTTCATCGGATCCGTGTTTTGGAAAGATTTCCCTTCCAGCACAGCCCTTGTCATCTTTTCAGCAGTGCCAAACCCACCACTCCTCTCTCTTGAGGGCTTGGCATTGCCAAACCAGGGCTGACCGTCCTCCCACACCATCTGTACATTTTACAGTTGCTCATTTCACATGCAGCAGCTTCCTATGCATTTGGAACCTCATTCAGTGCACACTTGCACATACGCAGACGCCCGGTGCTCCATGCTGCTGCCTCCATGCCCACTGTTCTCCACTGAGCGGCTGCTGTCCTTCTGTCCAAGTGTCCACGGCTATACTGTGTGGGCTCCCCAAGTGAGGCCCTGGGTCCACTGACGTGCTCTTGTATCAGCGGCATTACAAAGTCTGGGTACTCTTGGTCTCCCAGCAATATCTTCTGGCCACACGGAGCTATCTGTTCTATAGCTATGAACTCTGAATCAACCTTCCATCCATAAAGTTAGGAGTCAAGATGCTTGCTGTGATTGAATTAAATGCACAGACGTTTTATCTTTGTTTGGAAACAAGGCCCCACTTCACTATGTAGCCCTGGTTGACCTGGAAGTCACACCTGCCTCTGCCTATGAAGTGCTGACATAAAGGTGTGTTCCACCACACACTGCAGGACTCCTCCTGCCCTCCAACACGGACAGCTAATGATGTAGATCATGGTTTCTGCTACCATTGCATACTAGTTTTCTCCTCTAGAGCCTGTGTATACTTGATTAAATGTTTTGACTACTGAGATACTAGCCATTATTTCACTTGTGGCTGGTGTGCAGGGTCAGTGCGATCTTGCTGTGACTTCTGAGCAGGGGTTCCATTGTTGCTGGCACGTAGAGTTAGTGTGATCTTGCTGACTTCTGAGCAGGGTTTCCATTGTTGCTGGTGTGCAGGGTCAGTGAGATCTTGCTGACTTCTGAGCAGGGTTTCCATTGTTGCTGGTGTGCAGGGTCAGTGTGATCTTGCTGACTTCTGAGCAGGGTTTCCACTGCGGATCTTTGGAATTTCCTCAGCTACGTCAGCAGTTTCGTTTCTACCTTTCTGACTCTGTCCTCTTGCATTAGCCTGGCTCCTAAGCCAGAGCTGAAAGGAAGTGGGAGGACGCCACCACCTTGACCGTGACAGAGAGGGACCACATCAGCACGGGGCCTGCTCTGCTCACACTTTATTGAGAGCTTTGACTAGAACCTGACAAAGACTTTTGCTTTGGGGGAGGGGTCCATTCATACGATCACACAGTTTTCTTTTTCAGTGAAGACCTTAGGCTCAAAATCCCAGAAATAGCCAACGAACCACAAAGGCCATCAGCGCATGGCAGGGCACCCCTGCAAAATCTCAGATGTATCCACCTCCAAGGATGGGAATGCACACAGAAACAGAACCCCTTGGAATTATCATGGCCTGACTGTATGGACATGTTACATACCTGAGCATAGCAGGCTTCTTCTATGGCTAGCCCCGTTACTAAGTCGACCTGAGGACAAAAATGTATTTTAGCAGAATAAGGAAGACTCAATATAATCTCAAACAATCTAAAATAACAGAATCCTTCAATACAGCACAACTGTCCTGAAGTATGTACAACTTGAGACCTCCAACTCGGCTCCTGAAGTCACAGCCTGACTCCACCATCTGAAGTTGACCTCTCTCTGCTTCAGAGGCATGTCTGACAAGGACCTGGCTGCACTACTCCCTACAGAGGAGCGACAGTGAGGGTTAAACAAAGACTTGCACACTCACGCACGCACATGAGCTCCAAAGTTTATAGAACCTGCACTGTCCACTGTTCCTCCAGCCCAAGACCCCTCCTTGTGGTCATGTTCCCAGTGTGACTCACTAACACCTCAGACCAGCCTGGGCTCAGTGCTTCTCCCTGCACACACTGAGAGGTTCCAGGTAGAGAGGAATACTCAGCAGAGGTGGGCGGCTCTTCTTGAATGACTGATAGAAGAATAATTTGGCTAAGGAGCCTGTTTCCCCAGGGACTGGCTGAGGACCCCACTAAAGCAATGTCAAAGAGAACAAGGCTGCCATGAGCTTCCAGGACATCAGAACTTTGTATCCATGGCCTGAAAGGAATCCCAACAGCTTCAGTCAATATGACACCAGCTCTATTCCAGAGTGTAGGAAATAACCCGGATGTCTAAGCTGATTCCGAGGAGCAGCCTCCTTCCTGTGCAGTACCAGAAACACTCACCTCCATCCCTTGATTAATCGCTAGTTTGGCCACTCTCATTGCAACAGGCCCCTGAAATTCAAAGTCAAGAAACAAGTTTTAATTAAAACTTATGCAAATTATACAGAATACCTAAGTATAATTCCCATATTCTCAATGTAGGATCCACAGATCTGCTAACAACAACCGAGATGCGAGACAGAAACTGATTTTCTGAGCTTCTTGGACTTTCAGAGTGGTTGTCACTGATCACACTGGACCTTGATGGCAGCAGGAAGAGTGTGCTTTAAAGGTCCAGCAGTCTTTGGTTACTGTCCTTCCACGGGAAGCAGAGGGGAGTGTGGGGAGTCTGCCCGGCTCGGCACCACACTACAGTGGCAGAGCCTGAAGCTCAGGCTGGAGATGAGCTGGGCTGTCAAGTGGGGCCTGTGTTGTCACTGATGTACTGGCTACCTCTTCCTGTAGCATGGAGAGCCCACAGGGATCGACCCGGGTGTCCTCTCAGCATAGACAGCTAACCGCAGTGATGGTGGGCTGACACAGGTATGTCTCCGTCAGGTATGTCGGGTTAAGGAGGGAAGAACTAAATGCCCTCTCTGAGAAGACAGTGACACTCACATGCTGTGGAAGCTCAGCTGCCATCACTACCCTAGAGACGGTCACACTCTGCAAACAAAACTGAGGTCTTTGGTCTTGGTTTACATCTACCTACAGGAGGTGAATGTCAATTTGATGCTAGATTTTGTACTGAATGGTCTTTTTAAATTAACACACATGTAGTAGGGCCAAGGAGAGGGCTCAGTGGGTAACAAGCTTACTGGGAGTTCAGATCTTCAACACACATGACGGGCAGGTTGGTGTGGCAGCCACCCTGTAATCCCAGAATTCGGGGAGGCTGAAACAGGCAGAGAGCACCCTGACTGGACCAACGAGCTGGATTCCATAGCTCAGGGACCGAGAAAGAGACCCCTCCTCGGTATGTAGGTGGAAAACGATGGAGGAAGACACCAACAGCAGGCCTGACCTCCACGGGAGTGTGCACATGCGGTCTCCTGACTCAGCGGGAGGCAGGGCCATCCTACATGCTTCAATGGGAGGTAGCAGCCCGTCCATCACTCTCTCTACAGAGATGACTCTGTTAGAATATAAGTTGGTAAACAAGCTAAAACAACTTGCTAGGAAGTTACGCTGTGTGTGTGGTGCTCATGCATGCCATGTGTCTGTCTCCCGTGCAACCCTTGGACTACCTTCAAATCTTATTTTAACTGCTTTCCTTGAGGCAGGACAGGGCCACCTCAGCTCGTGAGATGGGCACTACACTATTCCCGAATGTTATGGAGTGATCTCAAATGGACACAGGTGCTGTCACTGGTACCTGAGGTAGAAACTCTCTCGCCAGGTCCAGTGCCTTCCTGTAGGCAGCATCCCCTTCCTGGTTCTGTTCTAACACGTGGCTGATCAAGCCTACAGCTTTGGCTTCTTGACCATCAAGAACTCGTGCAGAGAAGATGAGCTCCTTGGCCAAGGACATCCCGATGGCACGCGGCAATCTCTGTGTCCCTCCTGAAAGGTGGAGGAGAGACAGAGACAATGGCATGTGATGATCTGAAAGAATTCCTTCCAGAGACACCTCTGTGCTTCAAGAAAGACTCCAGTGTACTGAGTCACCCAACTGCTAACACTGAAGCACGTAAGAATGCGTGTCACCGAGTGGTCTGGGCACCTGGACACAGCTGGTCTGGCAAGGATAGGCCCTCCTCCCAGTCACTGGCCTAAGCAGACAGCAGGGCTACCAGGGATCCACCCACCAGAAACAGTTCCATTGATCTTCTACTCCAGCCTGGGAGGAATTTCCCAAACTCTGACAAGATCAGTTCACAAACTTGAGAGTCCTTGGTGGCGTGTGCACTGTAAGCTAATTCTAACTCAGCAGAAATGAAAGCAGGTATGAGGAAGCTGGCTGTGTCTGTCCTACACCGCTCACTGCTCTGCTGGAGGTGCTTGCTCACAAACTCGCTTATCCATTTGCTCACTGGCCCTCCTCCTCATTCAGATGTGTTCTCCCTACTGAGGAAGCCTGCTCTCCAGAGTTGGGATACACACTTGGTCTTAGCTCCAAGGGAAGACAACTAACTAGTGGTACAACTAACTGCCCAATTTAGGGTAAACACAGGTCAGAGGCTAAAGGTCCATCCATACACCAATTCACTGCAGCATCTTGTGGGGAAAGGATGGGAAGAGGAGCCAGATGCCCTGGGGTCAATTGCAGGTGCTTGTGAGCTGCCCGAATGAGTGCTGAGAACTGAACCTAGGTCGTCTTCTAGAGCAGTAGGGGCCCTTAACACCTAGTCATCTCTCCAGTTCCAACCAACAACTTTTTAATCCTTGAAAAGCATCCCTAACTTGCAGATTTTAACCTACTGGACACTTGACAACACTAAGAATTTCCCACTGAGGCTGGAGCCAAGCCCTCTGGGATGGTGGGAACCATGGGCTCTGGTGAGGTTCTGATCCATGGTCAGGCAGCGCTTTTGCTCTGTGGTGCTGACAATGTGGGACAGCCATGACTTCACATGCATGTTCCGAAGATTCTCTTAAATATTTTGCATAGGTTGAGGTTCTGCCTCCAGGGTGCGCACTGACTAATGAGTGACCATTCAGCACGTCCACGTGATCTCAGCAGATCTTCAACCTTCCCACTGCACACTTTACTAAATGCAGTTCTGCAGCAAGGCATACATTTTACCATCTTGATGTAACTGCTTCTTGAAGCGAAAAGTCAAAAACAAAAATTTGAGGGGCTAATTTTCTCAAGGGTGCACAAAGATGACAGCTTCTGTAAGGTCGGAAACCAGATTCTCGCCAGGTTTCCCCTTTGCTATCATCCATACTTTGTATCTTCCAGTCTCTACATTAGATCGGGGGTCCAAAATTGCTGCTGGAGCCTTGCCATCACGTCTGCAAACATGTAGTGGGCAGAAAGAAGGGGGGAAAGGCAAGAAGAACTCTACTTGTTGGAGACCTTAATTGAGCAGTGCTCAACGACATCTACTTGTGACTATTCACATACAAAGCTACGGAGGGTCAGAAATGAGACTCTCCTTGCTGTGTGTCTCGCAGCACGAGGAATTGAACTGGACCTCTGTTTTTAGGAGAGAGGAAGTTAGCAGACAATCAGTAGTCACAAACTAAATGGGCAAAACAGATTTAATCCTGTCACTAATATTTCACATTTACATGTTACTTGAATAGGACGAAAGCACACTAGAAATGTCAAACCTGGTTTGCAATTTCTGTTATTTAATCTAATGGAAGGCATCCAAAAAAATAAAAAACTTAGAAAATAGCCTTCTGAGGGTACACTACATAAAACAGGCAGAGGGTCAGCAGGGGCTCAGGCAGAGTAAGCTTCTGCCAGAGGAGAAATACAAGGCTGAGTGTAGGAGGCAGCAGACAGATACAGCTTCCCTTAAGAAAGCTCTGACATCCATAATCGATTATAGCATAACATGTAAACAACTGAACATAATTTGGAGCCATCCCGTACGAAACGTCAACTGTAGAAAGCACTAAGCTTGGTCTGGCTTGTTTGTCCTTCGTCCCTCCATCCTCCTGACTTCATAGAAGAAGAACCCATACTAACAAAGGGGGACACACTTAGCACACAGACTTCAAGCTGAAAGCTACAGGGGCCACAGCAAAGAATTTTACCTACAGGATTAGCAGTAACCTTTGGCCCCAGGAGCTCCTTATAAATCCCTTCTCAAATCCCTTCTCTTAAACAGAGAGCTCCACGCTGCAGTAAATGCCATTACATGAAACAGATGCTGAGAGCTGTGTCAGAGGCTGTGGGCCAAGCCTTCCCAGTAGACCAGGGCCCACTGCTCACACAAATCACTTTCTCCCCTTTACAGTATGTTGACTGGTGTGAACACGCATGTCACAATCACACAGAAACCATAGGAATAGCTAGCCTTCAATGTGATCATTGTCCAGAGTGTTGTAACGCTTTCTACTCCCCCATGCTCTTGGCGTGTTGTAAAGCAATGGGGGCAGGGAGGCCACGATCAGAACATATGAGGAGAAAAATCAGCTGGCTAAACCACAGCAGAACATCCTGAACCACATAGGGAGAGCTCTGCCAGGCTCTCACTAATGCCTCATTTAGGAAAAACTAGAGTGCTAAAGGACTGGACAGGAAGACACAGGTTAGACATTCAATTATTTTCTCAAGGTCAATTAAGCAACCAGCAGCAAATTAGAACACTTGATACAGGCGCTACAGTTTTGGAATTAGTTATTATAAGCCTTTCTACCAGGGCCCTATACACTGTGAGTGGAAGACAAGTTGAAGCTTAACTCAGCACAAACAAAATGATGCTTTTTAAATGTCTTGATATGCTTGCTTTCTCTAACAAAAAGAATTTGTTCAGACATCACTGTATGTCTTAACTTCTCTCTCTGTGGTTCTGGGGCTCTAATCCAGATCCTTGTTAACTGTGGTAAGAGCCTTGCCACAGAGCTACACCCCTAGCCGTAATCAGCCCCATGTCTCTTTAACATTTTAAAGTGCGTCACTGCAGACCAGTAACAGTCTTCCTTTTAAAAGCTATGGGAAGGCAGCCAAAGAGCACTCTGACCAGTTCCAGCCACTACCAGCAGCACAGCCACCCTCTGTACCATGTGCAGTCTGTAGGCTGAACTTCAAGGGGGTCTTAGAGCACCCAGAGACCAAATGACTACCTTACAATAGCTGCTTCCCACACAGCCAAGTGGACTCTGCAGGTCTCAAGTAAGCAGAGAGCTTGCCAGCAGGATCCCATCATTAACATACCACCTGCCATCAAAACACCATCCTCCATCAAAACACAACCCACCATCAACACACCATCCTCCATCAACACACCATCCGCCATCAACACACCATCCTCCCTCAACACACTGTCCACCAGCAACACACTGTCAGCAACACGTCATCTGTCATCAATACACCGTCCAAAGTTGTGATTCTCTGGAGAGCAGTAACCCAGAGAAGAGGCTGCGGGAAAGAGGGAATAACTGAACCACATGGTACCAGCTAGATCACTCAAGCAGCCCATGCCACCATACACTCTGACCATGTCTACTCTCCCGTGTGACACTCCTCCATTTCACTCCCTAGTCATAGAAACATGTTACAGATGATCACACACACCAAAGGCTGGGTCTCTTTCTGTGATGACTACCTATTCTACCTAAAAGAATGTTTTGTGTGTGTGCGTGCGCGTGTGTGTGTAACATGACACAGTTGTCCTGCTAGAGGAATACACACTTAAAGGAGCCCCCAAGAGAGATACTCAGTGCTGGAAATGCAGCTTTCAACTGACAGTGAGGACCATAGTTGACCCCCAGCATGAGCTGTCACATAGTCAGGCCACTCCATGAACTGTGTGTGTGTGTGTGTGTGTGTGTATACATGCACCTATGTAAGTGGACATACAGAGGCCAGATAATCCCCTGGAGCTGGAGTTACAGGGGAGTGTAACTCCTCTGAAAGAACAGCAAGCTATCACTCTTAACCTCTGAGCCATGTCTCCACTGCCACCCCCCCCAACACACACACACACACACTTCTTACATCTCAAATGTTGAAAACCAATTATGCAACAGTATTTCCAAACTCAGCTTGGTGGTAACAGTGTCTTCACTAAGTTCTTTACCAAGAAAAGGTTTCCTCATCCCTATGACCGGATGAGGGGGCAGTGGCAGTCAGCAAGCCAGCATTGCAAAGGACTCCATTAATCAAAACAATGGCTTTCATCTCACAGGTTCTGCAGGTCCGGAGCCCAGGAGGCCTTTGCTGTAGGCTTCCCCTGCCTCTGCCTAACATTCTGTCCTGCGGCAGTGAGCCAGGTGA